TGGGCCTAATGTTCAGGTAGCTGACGTGAGTTTGGTACAAAGGTTGCTGAAGGAGGCTAAAGAAAACCATCTAATTAACAGACTTCTCATTGTATCTCGCTCTAAGGAGCCTTTGTCATATGCTAAATCTCATCAGTCACTGAAAGCTAACAGGGAGCTACGGTTGGCAGAGAAGAAAAATCACTCATTTGTCCAGCATCACCAACTGTAGTGATCTGCAGACGCATTTTCAGGTGAGCAGTGACAGCACAGCGATGAGCTGCCGACACGTGATGGATATGGATTTCATACGTGGCCTGTGAGCAACTAAATCGCATCGCGGTTTGTTTCAGTGTATGCAGACAGATGTGTGAGGGCAAAAACTGACCTTCCCTTTCCTAGGGGCAAACTGGCAGCTGGGGTTAAGGAGAATCTGTTCTTCTAGGTGTCACAACTCGTCGATGCTTCTGGGTCTCGTATCAACATACTGTTGTGCCTCTTGGGCAGCCTTTGTGTGTTCGTATGTCTGTACCCTCAGACATGGAGTCCTCCATTTTTGCATCTTATCCAAAAGCATTTAGAAGACAAATTTATGTGGCTCTGCTTCTAAATAGTTACATGGCTCTTGGGTTTGGTTTTGTCACCAATGTTGACTTTATGCAATAAATGTGTCGATTTACAAAGCTTCCATTTTAAAAAGCTCGGGAGTTTTGCTAGATTTTCATAGTGAAAACTAGACCTATTTAATAAGCAAATTAAAAAAAAAAATCAAGGTTTTAGAAGGGCTTCTGAGCTTGCTTCATCATGTAGAACAATCTAAATCTTTATCTTGATCCAGATGGAGCTACAGTCTATCTAATGGAACATGACCGTAGTGTCTTTAGCAATATTTAGGAATTTCTGCTTCTTGGTCTTTCAAAGCATTTCATACAGAACAAGAGTAGTGTTGCCTGTACTAAATGGAGGATACCGACATCTTTGGTTCGGAAAAATGGAAGTCTTGTCTGGCTGAGGCTCCTTAGGAGAACTTGTCTGTGCAGTGAGCTTTTCTAACATTATTCTTGAGTACTATGTTTTTCAGTAATGACTGCAAAAAAGATGTCTTTTTTTTAATTACAAACATTATGAATTAGGAGAAATAAATGTTTTCATGAGGCAGTTAATTGGTGTAGCCATTAGTAATGCCAGATGTTAAGGTCTCTTTAGGGCTTCAGATCCTTGATATTAACCTTGCATGCAGCATTTTTACAGAAGCAGTAAGATACATGTACTTTGTCCTCAAAAACTTTTTAAGAGAACCGAAGAATCTGAGCTAACTCTGTGACAGAGAAAAGATATCGCCATAGCAGCTGATAAACAAACTGCCAGTATACAGGGCACTTAAATAAATATGTTGGATTGACTTCCCTCAAGACTAAACTTAGTTATTTATCTACAGTGTAGGTGCTGCATACGTAGTAGTAGTTTCAGCTGCCTACCAGCACACAGACTCTGTGATCTGAAGGACGTCGTTCTGGGGAATCTGTACTAATTATGCATGTGGCTCGGTGTTGCAATTCAGTCTGGTGCAACTTTTAATTTTTTTTAGTTGGAAGAATTGGATACTAATAAAAATCAGCAAGTTACTGAAGCAAAGTTGTTACTTTTGTATTAAATAAATGGATGAATGGTATCTTTGACGCAATGTGCAATCTCGAGAGAGAGGTGATTGAGAACCAGAGGATCTGAAATATTTAGAAATCAAACTTCTAAAACTTAAACAGATCACTGATGAGTATATGGTACAGATCAAGAAATAATTAAAAACGGTTTTGCTTTTATCCTGTCAGATGCAGGTAGGAAGCATGCTAGAAGCAGGTAGGAAAGGATCTAAAAATTATTTGCTATTACTATGGGAAGAAAAATATGACGAGTGACTAGGATCACTGAACCTGACAGTGCTTTCCTGGTTACGTCTTATAATAGAAGCAAGACTTAAAAATAATTTTTATTTCTTTATCAGTAACAGATAAATATAGTTTTGGGCCTCCTCTTGAGGGATGAAAAGTGTCCATAACATTATCATGCATCTAGGTGCCAAAGACAGTAATTTTGTGCAAACAGAAGATAGCATCAACAAAGTATTAAAACCTTGTAAAATGAGCCATTGAAAGCCTGACTTAATCAACTGAAAAATTAAATTTATATGGGGAATTATTAATAAAAATTGGAATTGTTTGAGGTCATCCTGCTGGTTGTGCATAACATCACAATTCCAGTAATGCAAAGCAAATTACTAGGAATGAAACTCCTCGGGAGTAAAAGGGAGCTGTGGGAGCAGCACTGAAACACACACAGCCTGCATCAAAGGGGAGAGTGAAGAGAAATGAAGATGATACAGGTGTAAAATGCAAATGGCTAATGACGCAGCTAATGCAAAACCAGTGGTCGAACAGGGTTTAAAGGCAGCATTAAAAAAATCTATTACAAATGAAATAAAAAGTGAAAAAAATGCTGCCATAAAGGAAAGAGCCTTTACTTGTTACGGACTGTTGTATAGCCTTTTGTGATCTCAAAAGTCAAAGCGGTAAATATTTCTGTATTTGGAATGAAGCAGAAGTCTTACATCGTATGTGATGCTGTTCAAGGAATAGGCAGTTTAACGTTCCCAACAAAAGATGAAGTTAGAGAGCTATTGAAGTATTTTTAAATCGTCCAGCTTGGGTAATTTAGTCTCAGTACTTAATTTAGACCAATGAACTTGATTAATTTAGACTTGGTTAATTTAGACTCGGTTAATTTAGACTCTAGGCAATGGGTGCACATTGGCTTTATCTATGGTCTAAACCAATGGGTTGCAAACCAGCTCCAGTCTGAAAGCTGGACAGATGGGGTTGAGGTGAGCCTGTGCCTTGCCTTTGGCAGCGCTTAACACTTTGGCATATGCGTTATGCTGCCAAAAGAATGTGTTGTTTTTTTGGAGTAGAGGTCTCCTGTCTGCGTCTGGTGGTATGTCGCGGTCCTGAGTTGCACCGCCAATAGATGGGGCAACCCAGGCTGTGCGGGGTCTTGTGCTGCCAAGGCTGGGCTGTGTCCTTTGCCTGAGTTAGCACGCTCGGAGATACAGCATGTGGTCATGCATGCAGTCGTGCAAAAGCCTGTTTGGAGAAGGACTTAGTGAAAATGTCCGTCTCGGCTTCAGATCTATGTTTGGTGGGAAGAAAAAAAAAGTTGGCATGACCAAGGGATGGAAATAAGGTGACACCTATTCTTGTGCTTTCTTTTTCTTGTCTTTCTTTTTTTCTTTAATTTTTCCTGTATTATGGAAAATGGATTTTCTACAGGATATTTGAAAACACCTTACTTAATGAAGCACTTCTGATGGGTGCCACCAGTGCTCATTGGAACATGGTCTGCTTTGGCTTGGTGGCATGTATAAGAAGTGTTTTGAGAGTGGGCGCCTTTGGTTAAACCGTACTTTGCGGCTTGACCTAACCTAAGGGAGTAACATTCGGGAACTTGCACAGAATGGTGGCTTAGACTGTGTGACTTAAATCTTTGGAAATTGTACCTTGATAGTGGGAAAGGCCAGACCTACTAATCACCTCCCTGCCTGAGAGCTTTTCTGGATTGGTCTCTGCACAGAGGTGCTTGAGTCTTCTCATGTTCCAGGTGCCGCTGGCCTCCCAGTACCCCCTGTATGCACCTCCTTTGCATTCCACTTTTTGAAGTAACACTGTCTTCTTTCCCGTGGTAGTTTTACAGAACAGAAGATGGATATTTTAAGTGTTGAGACAGCTGTTATGATGTATTGTTGATATATAGTTTGCATCCATCTTAACGCAACTTCATGGGACTTCAAAAAAAAGCAAAAAATAATGCAATAACATATATATTTCTAGCTGCTTGACATAATTAAAATATGTAGGTAATGTTTACCATTGCAATGTATTCCATTGCATCAATCTCAGAGTCAGCCTTAGGAAAGGACTTGCTAGCCAGAATTTCTTACATTTGGACTTTGCTATACCGCGAGTCAGTGGATACCTGTCTGAAACGCAAAGAATATTTTCTAAAGTCTAAAGACTTGAAGAGCTTTAGAAATAATGTGTTGTGCATACTCTGTAGCTAATCCAGGGAAGTAATATTAAGAATAAACGGGAAGCTTCATTTTGTTTTGGATTATTTTTCAGTTTTCACTGAAGAGTTTTCCAAATATATAACTGATGTTAACAAAGACCACAGCAAAGTCTTAAGTAAATAAGATAAAACTGATTCGTGAACATGTACCTAGCATTTAGAAGGAAGATAAGTATTGCACTTAAGACATGGGAGCTGGAGTCAGAAACTTCATTATTTTCCTGAAGTGCCAAAGATTACAACTTTTTGCCAGAATTTGTAAAACTATTGATTTTGAGCATTCAGGCATGCCCATGCTGCATAAATATCAGCAATCCAGTGTCCAAACATTCTATTTAAAAAAAAAAAAAGGACATTAGTAGTCCAATACCCCCCCAGCGCGTGTGAAATCAAAGCGTAACGATCCTGTGGTGCAGAAGGGCTGTGTTGCGGCTGTCGGTGGCGAGCTGGGAGCGGAGCGCCGTGCACAGCACACCACCGGTGCTCTGCTCCGTCCTTGTTTTGCCGCGTTACGGTGCGGGTGATTGTCACAGCTGCCTGCACGCAGCGTGGATTTCAGAACGAGAGCCGCTATGGTAATGCTGCGGGGATCCCGGCTGCTTTCTGTGTGCCGGAGGTGAGGGAGCGTGGCCGTTCCTTGCAAACGTACGACCAAGCTTCCGTGTTTCTCCGCTGCCTCACAGTCTTCTGAGGTCACTGCTGCTGTTGTGCAGCTTTCCCTTCCTTCTCGGCGAGCATAACCGGGCAGCGGTCTTCACCGGGGCCTCAGGTTCATGGGCAGAGTCCTACTTTACATGGCACGTGTAGAGTGATGAGAGAAAAGCTGTAGGATTCAAAGCTGTGAGCCAGAGTGGTAAGTTCGTGCTTGTGGTGGGTTTCTTAAGTGTTGGGACCTTGTCAGGATGTCCGAGCTGTCGGCACGTTGGTGTGCCGTGCGACACAACCGCCAAGTCACGACGGTGCCTGACGCAGAGCTCGGGGTGTCTGGCTGGTGCTCTGCTCCCTTCGCTTGCCGACGGGATTCCAGGTTACGTTACCTGGTCAGTGTCATAAATGACTTTCAAAAGAAGGAGAGTGTCAATAGGTGTTGGGGTTTTTTTTATTGATTCGCCCCCCCCCAATATAATACAAGGGGCTTTCTGACTGATTTAAGAGGACCTTTTTAAAACAAATTTAAAAGATGGCTGAGACTTATCCCGGACTCAGACCACTAGGAGAGCAATGTGTACGTGGTGTGTAAGATGCCAAATGCAGGTTGCAGTCATTCACATACTTTTCTTTTAAAATTCTCATTCCTATCTAGATATTTAATGAAATGTTGAAGAAGTGCTGTATCCCCTAACCAGATAATATTAATAGTATTCATTTATAATACTTCATTACATGTCCCATCTATGACACATTTCATCCAATTCCTTGCAAAAATAATGTACCAGCAACGTAGGAAATGTCGATGATTTAGTTCTGAGCACTGTCTAGTACCACATCAGAAACGAATGTATCTTACTGTAGTCAGAGGTGTGCCTAGCATGCAAAATGCCTTCCCAGACATCAGACAGCAGTCTGTCACTGCTTTAAAGCTGAGTAGATAAAAGAATTATATCGGAGGGCAAGTATAGTCATTTGTACAGGTACTAAGGAATCTGAACAGAACTGCTGTGCTCTATGTAAGACAGGAAAATGCGAGAGGAGAATGAGTTTCATAATAGCCGCTATAAGTCAGAGTAAAGGAAAAGTCTCCTCAGGGGTGATATTAAGGTCTACAAGAGTAAGAACAGACTTTAAGGACAGTCTGGTGGAGCGCCAAGCACCAGCTCATGTTGTCTTTCTCAAAAGCATGGGCACTGACCTATCTTCCAAACAGGAGAACTTGAAAAATGCATACATAATTGATTTTAAAAGCCGTCCAGAATATATTTCCTTTCCATGTAGAAAGAGATGTCAGAGAGTAAATGGGATAAAAGGATATATCCACCCTTTCAAATTTAACCCAGACATTTCTCCTTTCCTAGTATTGCCCATGGCATACTCTTACTCCTAGCACCTCAGCAATAATCAAAATAATAATACTGGAACTCACTGATCCCAGAAATTTATGAATAGTAAGAAATGACTCCTTAAACATCTCTGTCTCGGCTTCACTTGTGATTGTGTTTTCTCCTAATGAACACCCTATTATAACATAGTCATCACCCTCTGTGCTAATGTCTGAAGCCAGCTGTGTGCTGAGACCTCCTCAGACTTTGAATTCCTTTTCCCAGTCCCTTTCTGACTGCACACTCGTGTGTTAATGCTGCCATGCCTTCAGCGGGCACTCGACTGAGCAGAGCAGCGGTGCAACCGGACTGCAAATATAACCGGTATCTGGCACTTCACTTTTGACTTGCAGAAACTTTCAGAAAACAAGCAGAATTCAAACTGCGAAAGCTCATAGCTTTCTGGAGCATGTAAATATTCCTTTTTGTCAAAAACTATTTGGTATCTGTCTTGATGGCCCACAACGTTGATTGAGTAGTCTAAGTCATCCAGAAAAATACAGCCAACTTCTGATAAGAGATCTTGGTTTCCTGTGTCTACTCGGATTTTGCTGGAATAGCCTGCCTCTCTGTGGCACCACTTTTTTATTTTTTAACCCTGTATTACAACATTATCTTTACTACTGTAGGCCTCAGTATTTCTCTCACCAATTGAAAGCTCTGATACTGTAGAAGACATGCTCAAATGGACACACAGATTTTGCACACACACAAATATTTTTCAGAAGACGTTTATTGTCTTGGCATGTGCCATCAACTGGTTCACAGTCAAAGGGAATAGACATTTGTTGCAGGGTGATGGTTTATGGACGTTCTTGCTCTGGCAGGGTAAAAGTGACTGCTGGAGGTTCAAATCTCAGGAGAGTCAAAAAGAGGAGCATGTTTGCATGGCCGTGGCTGCTTCATTACATAGCCACGTGGTTTTATTGGGGCGGACGGCGAAGGTGGGCTAGGCAGCAAACCTTGGGGCTTGTAGGGAATTGGCTTAGTGCTGCCGCGCTTCAGGTTTTGCAGCGGGGTGAGCAGCCCTGAGCAGAGGGACCGGGCAGAAGGTGGGAATGGAGGCTCTTGGAAGCGATGCAGCTAGTTTCACTTCGTTTGGAAAGGCACACTTAGGTATTAAACCATTTGATCTTCTCAGTGCAGGGTGAATTAAGCTTTACCCATATCAATAATAACCCATTTCTAAAATTGCTGGTTTAGCTTTTACTGCAATTAAAACGTGGTTTGTTATTACACAAGTAGTAACAATCATGGTGAGATGAAGAGCAAAAAAAACCCAGCAGTTTTCTCTGCTGTTTTTTTTTTCCCATATGTGAACCATGTTGCTAAGTGTATGCTCTAGTAATCTTTAACAAGTTTTACCTCTAAATATTTTATAAAGCACATTGCAGATTGCCTTCCTCCTGTACAGCACATAGATTGTAAATTATCTTATGATAAATCACTTATTGTGTATCTAGGCTTGAAGATTACTAAATCCAATCAGAACTAAATTCAAACATTGTCTGTTAAGATAACCTTAATCATAATCTCTGAAGGCAAAATGGACAGCTTTAAGCATATGTGCCTTAAACAACAAAGATGACACATTATATGAATGTAGGAGTAGGATTGTGGTATTTCAGTAGTGCTATCTACTCAGATCATGGCTGGTTTTCAAACTATGAGCTAAGCCCTCCTGTACGCAGAGGAAAACGGTATAGGGTGAGCAAAGGTTTAATCCTTACTTCAGTGGGCACACAACTAAATTCATGGTGACCTTTATTTTTCCCCAGCAAATGCTTCTCAGTGTATGTAGACTTTGAATCAGTTTTTCATGCAGGAGGACTGTCATATTTCTCCATTCATCAGACATTGTCTATCAATCCAGTGACAGACGTGCAAGAAACCTAGTTTTTCTCATCCTGAACCCTTATCTTCGCATATCTGCACATAAGTAAAGAGTACTATAATTTCAGCTTACATGTTCATTTAAAATATTAAGAGTGATTTCAATGTGATTCACTGCTTTTGTTCTCCTTTAACAGGTTTGAATTGATTTCCTTTAATTGAGTTTACTCTTCATAGAGCTGAGAAGTTTTTCTTATATCACCAAATAAATCATGGTGATTCCTGGTCTCAGCTCTATATACATTCTGTGTACTTTTATTATGTGTTCGTTACCATGGCAGTATTTAGAGGCATTTTGAAATGTGTATGACCATATAAATACATACTAAAGTCTGCACAAAGAGCTTGGAAGCTATTAGTGTCACTTTTGTAGATAAGTACTTAGGGGTTCTGAAATCCAGAGATTATTTGACTGCCTCACATGCTGAGCTATTAAATCCTCATGTGAAATGTAGTATGAAATTTTTGGTGATTATGGATTAGTTTATCACAGAGTTTATCAGCAAACTCATTTGTCTTCTTTGAAAGTATAAAAGAATTAGTAAGCTAAGCAAACAGGGAGACTGGCTGATCCTTGGCTGTGGAAGCACATAAGAAAATGAAGAAAGAACAAGCCGCTCCAGATGCTTAATTTCTGTCATGTCTTAAAGTTCTTCTGAGAGGTTGGTCTACAGCTTCCTTCTGAAGGAGTTAAAGCCTTTAGCAGTTTTGGTTGCTGAGAGAAAGCCTGCGAGGCTGTGCATCCTAATGGAACTATTGTAAAAACTCGGCCATCTGCAGGAATGACTTTGCTTGTATCAAACCCGTAAAAGCACCATGTGAGCACATCTGCAGAGATGTGTTCCTCCAGTTTCTCCGGTCTTTTGTGTTTCTCCAAATCATATTGACTAATGGATTTTTTGTAGTTTTGAGTACCGGAGGCTGGAGAGGAACTTTCTCAAGTCATCTGCTGAAGGCAACTTAAAAATAATACAATATTTTTAGCTTAACATGCAAGGTAAAGCGAAACTAGAAGATGTGGTCTCAGTGCGTTCAATTGAAAACAAGGAGTTAGTGGTCTTGACTCAGAAACAGGCTCTTAAAAGGTTATAAATGTTGTAGGGAATTTCCTATGAACATAGATTGTAAGTAGCCGATATTTTTCATATGGTATTTAATATAATGCTGTGTTAACTGTTATTTATTCAGTTATTATTGGAATTCCTTTCATATGCCATGACTATTATTTTTTTGTAGACTGTACACTGCTAATCAGTTCAGAAAAGCCAAAATAGAAATGGCTTCTGCAGCCTTAATTGCAGATACCGTATAGCACATCCTGTTGCATTTCATCAGCTCCCTCACTGTTGGCTACAAAAGAACCTGCAAACTCAGAGGAGCGTGATGCAGACAGTCCTGAAGGATGCTGAAGTCTGCCGGCGCACCTAAGCAGACAAGCCTGAAGCCTCTTAACAGAACTGCAGCATCTCCTGAGTGTGGCTATCCTAGCACAGGGCCAAAAGGGCCCTCTCGAGATCACTGGGCCATTGCTCATCCACAAGTTAGGATTACTATATTATTTCTGACCGATTTTTTTTTTTTTACCTTTTCTAAACAAGAAAAAAAGGAGTTTTGTAAAAACGTTATTATGCACTCTATTTTAGAGCTATCTAACCTTATCTGTTCAGAAGTTTCTCCCAGAGTATAACACAGTTGGTTTTCTTGCGACTTGAGCTCATTGCTGTTTCCATGACTGCTGTGGACACAGAGAACGAATGGCTTCCCTCTCAAATACATAACTGCTTATGTGTTTGAAGACTATTACTATGTCTGTCTTCATTCTTCTCTTGACTAAACACCACCACTTTGTTCGGTGCCTCTTCATTGGACATGTGTGGCTAGATCTAATTCCATCCCATATGCTGCTTTCTAGACTAAGTGATCCATTTTTCATTTCTAAAATGAAATGCTAAGTATTTCAATATATTCATCAGGTCATACTTTTCTAATGAAAAAAGGTGATTTTTTTAACCTTTGTTCAGAGTTGGGGACAACTGCTTTTGAATCCATGCTATGACAATGTTGCATAGTCTCTGAAATCGGAATTCCATAGAGTATAATCAAAAGCCTTA